CAGCTTGCGATCCATAACTAGGGCCAGCAATTTTGCAATGTCACGCCGAAGACTGCCAAATTTTTCACCATCTTTCATCACCGCTATTGCATTTCTGTCATGAAAACTATTCTTCCGTCGTTGGATAAAAAAAAAACTTCCTATTTCAAGTCCACCTCGATATCCATATAGTGAGACATTCCAACCGCCGGAACTATCTGAATGATAACTTTCACCGTGATTGATAAGCGTTGAGTCTGATAAGAAAGCAATGTCACGATTTGACCTTTGTGATGAAATACTAGTAGTGATGTCATTCTTAGCCAATCAGTAAAACAGATGCATAAAGACCAAAAATGATTGCTGGACTGTAAACAAAAGCATTGTGTGCCATTGCAGCAGAGCGACCCCATTTTTCTTGTCTCTTTATTATGATTAGACATGAATGAAAAGTGCTAAGCTGACAGACTTTGAAATCTGTGGATTAAAAGTGCTAAGTCCAAATTGTGTGGGATGATATCGATGAACTTCAACAATAAGTTGTAGGGATTTTGTTCGACAGCTACAGTGATGCTGACTTGGACTTTGTGGCTTTTGAGTTTGACGAAGATGGCAATGAACGTACAAATAAAGATCTGAGAAGTTATTTAAAACAGCTATGAATTTTTATAATTTTTACTGTGTAAATTTGTAAATTATTATTGATCTTGTATGACAATTGATTCGTAATTTGCCGAGACCGGAAATCATTTTGCGCAGTTTAACCCCTGACATTTTAATTCATTTTGAGTTCACGCGTATTGGGCGCGTTTGTCGGTGGGAAAATCCTAATTCAAATGATTCCTCACTGTTGATTTTTATTATTTCTGGTTTATTTGTCACATTATAAGCAATACATTAATTTTGTTTTACTTCTAGTGTTGCATATTGTTCATTTATTTTCGTTGCATGTTTTCATTTACCGTTCTATTTCCTGCCGCAGTTTGATCTGCGTGTTGTAAATTTTCGTGAGTTTTTTTGCCGGGGATCTCCTGGCAAACGCCCACCCCTTCTTTTTGGCAATTTTCCATGTTCAAGACCCTGGGCTTATACCCGGATAAATACGGTAACTAAAAAATCTCCCATAGATATCTCATTGGTTAGGCCAGACTTTTTTTATTCCTTGTTTCGCGAGTTTTTATAAGGCAATTTATTTTAGGAGGACGAAAAAAAAAAAAATTAATTCTTTTTTTCCATTAGATTTGTGTGATTCTCAAAGAATTGTAAATGAGATCATTGATCGGAGAGAAGAAATGAAATAAAATGTTATTCCATGTATAACCTTGTTTCTCATCTGCGCGGGACTTTGGTACTTTGATCATGATACTCCCACGAAAATGCAACTTGGATTTGTTAGGCGGTGGGCGGTAAAAAAATGAAGATAAAGATAAGTCGGCAGGCGCGAGAAATTGCGCTGAAATAAAATTATATTTTTATTTCATCTTCGGCTCCTATTCATTCGGCGGGTTCAAGAAACAAGTCTGGCCTTAAATACCCCTGCCACCTATTCTGGACATGCAAGAAATAACCACCCGTTTACCACGATGTGCATCAATCAAATATGAATAAAATACACACAAATAATGCACCTATAAGACAAAACCCAGTTAACAACAAAAATGTACTTTGGTTCTGGCTGTTAAGAACATGCCAACCTAATTTTATTGAAATAAATTGTGCCAAAAATTACAAAACCATTTGTAGAAATAGAAAATTAGTACTATCGTCATGAAATTATCACATCTGATGTGGGTCCACCAAAGATTTATTGAGGTCAAGTATCAAAGCAATAGGACAATTACTTTTCAAGAGGAAGTCAAAAATATAAATATTTTACAACAAATATTGGTTTAAAATATAGAATTAATGATATCGTCATGAATGAACAAATCTGGCAGAGTTCCACCCAAGATACCTACTTGTACATACATGTAGCAAGTATCATAACAATCGAGCTGCTGGTTTTTAAGAAGTTGAAAATAACATTTTTTACCAAAAATATACGCCCAATATGAAGAATTGATGATATCGTCACAAAACTAATGAATCTAACAGAGGTCCACCGAAGGTACCAACACCAAGAATCAAAGCCATTGAGCTACATGTAGTAGTTTTCAAGAAAAAGTCAAAAGACATGCAGAGACTGAACCACAAGTCTCTGTTCTCAGTCCTTGCACGAATGTTGACTAATAACAAGTATTGATATCACTGAAAACATTTTTGTTTACATTATCAACTTTGGACTACGCCATTTAGTCAGTTATTTAAAATTTGATATCTTTACTACAACAGATAAATTACCGATGCATTTTCAAGTTTAGAACAAATACTAGAATAAACAACTTTCACAAGAAGGCAGAGAACCCCAACAATTCAGTATTATTTATTTATTAAATAAACACTATGTGATGAAATATAACATGAGTTTAAATCGTTTATCAATTAATCCAATTTACTGAACCTATGATGAAGTTTTTCGCAAATTTTACATGTACTACAGACCTTGTGCATACTGGTAGAGTGGCTTGAGCCTATTGCACACCGGACATGCTCCAATTCATCTCAACAAGATGTTCTCTGGCTTGGAGAACACAGAATTCATGTACAGATTGTTTACAGCATTGTATATATATGTACATAAAATTGTTATCAGCATCCTGCAACTAATTTCGTGACAGATACTTCAAAACAGTAGCACAAATTTTTTTAATATTAAAAGTCATCTGATCGTCAAACAAGTACTTGTCCATATTGAGAGATATCGCTCTAGAATTGCATTCATTAAAAAAAATTGCCACCAGTCAGTCATTTTAAATACAATATGAACAAAAATGACACCATAATGTTCAATGTATGTACCAAGTTTGAACAAAATCCCTCTGTAAACATCCAGATCCAGTTCTGGAATGCCAGAAATGCTTGATTTCGATGATTTTTCAGCACAAAATTGTCTGCCATTTGGATATTTTGAATCGTCAAAACAATACATCTGTATATCTATGACATGAAATATAATGAATATATCAAATTTGAATATAATCAGTCAAAGCATGTCACAGATATTTCACTAGACCCGCATTCATTAAAACAAATTGCCACCTTTCGGCCATTTTAAATCCCTTCTTGAAAACAAAATGATGTGCATCAAGGTCCCATAATGTCTGTACCAAGATTGAACAAAATCCAACTGTAAACAGCCAAGATCTGGTTGAGGAATGCCAAAAAAGACAATTTTGATCATTTTTCAGAACAAAATTGGCCGCCATTCGGCCATCTTGAATCAGATCATGAAACAAATTGATGTTCATATGTATAATATCATGTATGATGTATGTGTGAAGTTTGAATGTAATCTGAATGAGCACATACACACCACACAGAGGTGGGTCCGAATGGGTCTGAATAAGCATCAGGCAAGGTTATTAGGTGCTGCTTAATGCATGTCAAAAATGCAACACCGTAGAAATTTAAAAGATCCTCTGTTTATTTACCTATGAGAGCTAGCTTGTGATTGGTTGAGCCTAGCAAGTCCATGTACATTGCCTTGGACATCAAGTTAGAAGCACAAAATTGACCTTTAGAAAGTAAGCCTTCAGAGATTAAGGAGGTAACAGCTGAATTACTAAATTTAAAATATGTTAATAATCAACATGGCCTTAAAGTTTTTAAAAAAATATCATTTTTGATCAAAAGTAAAGAAACATGTACGCATTGTATATATCGGTGGTATTTACCATAGATGTAGATACATTACTTTAGGCAGGGTGGAGACGTACATTTGTACTCTAAGTGGGAGGAGGGATTTTTTTTTTGTAATCTATTCTATTTAATTATATATTAGCATATGTTACATATAATTACTGGTAGCC